AATTTTCCCCACAATAGAGTTTCATAAAATAAACACTCATGCAAACATAGACAATAAATCTGAATAATCGATATATATATATATGCTTTATGAGAAGTTTTTCTTTATTACGAGGTTTAATCTTTTCAATACTTTCAAAACCAATTCGATGAATAGTCATTTTCACAAACTCTTCTGATGACTCATAACATAATAGAAAGCAAAATCAGCTTTAGTCTTTTTATTCTCAAGTTTTGTGCTAATAGTATATCAATCAGTTATCTGTCGTGATATGTAGCCAAATAAATTATATGTTAAAGAAATAAATATATTTTATAAAGACTGGAACACATCTTAAATAAAAAAATTTTCTTCGAAAACCCAGGAAGTTAGGTTTCGGATCCTTTAAAAATCAAAATAGGTTTCCAAGCTGATTCCGGATATCTGTATATGTTTTTGGGCTGATATTGAATACCTTTAAAGGTTCTCGAAGGAACAACTGGGTTTTCGAGTTTCCGAAACTTTAAAAACATTTTATATACTGATAAACCTGGAAATGCTGAAGAGCTTCAGAAAATTGACAGAGTTTCTATATTTTAGGGAACGGATCATTTTTTCCGGTAATCCATCAGCATTTTCGGTTTGGTCACTATATGAAACGCTTCTAAGGTTTCCGGCGCTCAAAAGTCCACTTTTTCGTTACTAGAATCTTTTAAAAGGTTTCCAGATCACTCGGGAAACGTATCCAGGTTTCCGAAATCAATCTGTACACCTATTTTCCTGAGCTTTCGAGATAACGATTTCTATCTAGAGTGTAGACGTCAAAGAAACAAACGTTAAGACTCGGGGTGGAGCGAGACGGGGGACCAAAAATGATCCCCGTTTCTGCCTGTGGTTCGTAATAGAATTTTCGTTGAGTCTTATAAGTTATTCACGGAGGAAAATCTTTCTTTTTTAATAATTCGTTGGTCAGCGTGCATCTGTATGGACAAACATCCTCATTTTCCCATGTGTAATTTATAAAGCAGAGATCGACGCACAATGACGTAGATTAAACAAGTCTTTATTAACTTTGAAGGTTAGTGTTTACCGTTTTAAATCATAATCATCATGAAACGGCCACGTTTTTCACAAATGATGACAGTATAATACACATAACGCTGCAGATATTTACGATGTTTTTATGGATAGATCGATTTTCATACTCGTCTCATGGACAATGTTCTAAACCGGAGGCTGAAACTAGTTGATATCAATATCATGACCGAGACATTGAGACGGGCGAGAGCGAGATTGCCGAGACCGAGACTCTCGGTTCTGTCTTGGTCTCGGTACATCCCTAATTCGTTTTGCTTTTAGATCAATTTTATTTGGAAAATAACAAGAGCAAGTCATCGTGCGATGACCATTTATTTATTCACATTTTTAATGCTTTTCTTATCGTTTGTCAGAAATGCTAAAACTGTCTACCAATTTATCGAGACACAAACTGATTCTGATTATTATGGAACACGTTTTGTTAGCAATAATTATATGGTTGTCCTTAGTGAAAACCAGAACAGCCATTTTCGTGTTGTAGCTGATGTGCTTGGTCATTTCTCATGTGTAAAGTTTTTTTTCTTCGGAGAAAATAAAAATGAGGGAAACAATTACTATGTCATTAATGTGGCAGTAGGTCGTAATCAAAATGAAACTCAATTATACTTTATTTATTTGATGGCAAGCAGAGCGAATGGATACCAAAGTCTCACTGTTGGTCGTATCCAACTGGATTTAGCTATAGAATGGAACAACGAACATGGTCATTACGAATTAATAGGATGTTATAATGAAGTCGTTAATTGGACAGACCACAGCTGGAATATTCCGCTTGAACCACAATTATTGTCAAACATGCAAGTGGATCTTAAGGGAGAGTATGCCTATATATTTTTTCGAGACATCATATTCACCTATGACATAAATGCAAATAAGATGAAATATGTCTGGATGGCTAATGAGATATCGCCATATTTGTTCAATCCACATGCACTGGACATTGGCGAAACAAATGACGAAACAAAATCTGCCATAATTCCAGGCTATGCGCAGGAAGAGAAAGAAGTTGGTAAATCTTTACCCATCGTCTGTCTTTTTGAACTTGATCCACCATCAAATATGACTCTTATTAGTAACATCACTCTTGAAAACACAACTGTAACAGATAGTATAGCTTTCTTTAGTAATTATGATGACGTGATTTCCGTTGTAATTCATGATCGAACTAAAAAAGTTCTGGTTTCGATGCCTTATTTGGGCAAAGTGTATCTTCTTTCATTTAATAGTACGGATATTGTTCTTATTAGATCGTTTACAAAGACAGCCCGATCAATTGCTTGGCTTGATGATGATGGCATATTGGCAGCATTTCTTATTTTGGATGATCCAACACTTCCTTGGGCTCGATCAAAAATTCTAGTGATTAACACATCTGCAAATAACGATGAAGTGATCTATTTTTATCCAAACAATCAACAAATACTTCTGCCTATATGGGGAGTACCATCCTTTGTTCGAATTTCAACAACCAGTTCTCATCAATTGCTCTTCTTAGATAGCGATGGATGGATAGGGATAGTACCAAAATCTCCACCGGGCCATTGTGCTCGCATGAATGAACTCTTCTATGACCAAACTTATTTCGAAAAATGTCCACCGGGAACATACAAAAGCAGCAATGAAGCAAGCCCATGTCAAGTCTGCCCTCCAGGAACCAAAAGCAGCATGCGCAGTGAGTCAATCGAAATGTTTCTTTTTAGTACAAAGGATGAAATTTTCAGCGAAGAATAAAGCAAGTTAGCATAGGCGTTCGTATTTCCACCAATATGCTAGTATCTATCGTTTTTTCTAAAGTCTCAGCAGGTAGCATACATATTTTTATAAATCTGCTTTTCTTCTTTGAATCAGTTCACATAAATCAATCGATTTTCTATAGAAAAACAATTGTCTTATCATTTTGAGTGAACTGAAGATAGTGCGGAGTTAATAGTTATTATCTTTGTTCTACTTCAATCGATCAGCTCAATGTTCGTAGTGACATCGAACTATTTGTTTTCATTAGAAAATGTTAAGAACATAACTCCTTGATTTATCATTATCTATTGGAATAGAGACATTTATATTTTTTCTGATGTCTGAAAGAACAGTTTCTGTACAGGCGGAAGGTCATCTTCATGAAGAAAAACGATTATATTCATATTTTACTCAGTAGTATATTAAAATGTGGTTCCAGTGTGTTTCGAAAAAAGTTCGTTCATTCGTCCAGTTTTCACTAAAATAAGTGAATGTTTTTTCATTATTAGTAGCTGCGCTTCTGTATAAAAGCGGAATGTTTAGAAAGCTTTTCGCTTGAAACTGTGCTGATTCTACGCAGTATCAAAAGAACAGTAGTTCATTAGTTTTGAAAACTTTAAGACGTTTGTAGAGATGCGAAGCTAAGTGTTTAAAATTGTGATTGGGATGAAATTTAAAGTGAAAAGTGTTTTCAGCAGATGAATTCTTATTTAAAAATCGTTTATCCAGAGCATGCTAAATTAAATTTTGTGAGTAAAAACAAACAAATAAATAAATTCTTTAGAGTCAATTCAAATAACATGCTGTTATACTACTGAATACAATACGGACACAAATGATGAAAAACTATGTCGCGATTCCAGTACATAATAAGGATTGAACGCAACATATTCTAATGATATCGCAATGAAGATAAAAGCTTTGATGTCTCAATTTTCATCGAACCGATCGATTGAAGTAGTACAAAAATACTAAAGATATTTCTATTACGAATATATTGGCAAGTCGCCTTATATAATGATCTACATAAAAAAAATTATCATTTAAATACTACAAGTAAAGAACTAGACGGAAAGTGACTATAAAGCGAGGAGAATGAGTGATAGTGGAGCACTTTTCTTATTCAAGTTGGAGAATTATTTATCTACACATAAAATAATATCCATAGCATAATAATTCTAACTATTATTCATGTTGAACTAAAACAAAGGGAAACACTTTCCAAATCATTTTTAATATAAACCAGATAGAGATTTGTATTTTCTGTCACTGAAAGAAAGACATGCAACTTCATCAAATTTTCAATATCAGAATGAAGTTTTCATCGAAAATCTGTCCCAAATACTAGAGTGGTGTTACATAAATTATTAAACTTCAGTTGATGATTCTAGTATACTACTGAAAATTAAAATTCCAGAAGTTCTACATTATAAAATGTTTAGTTATCGGAAAACTTGTCAAAAGACCATGAGAAAGTGTGCCCAAATAATCAGATGTTGGTAATTCGATGCAGTTTCATTGTGCCTTCAAAACTGTGAAAATCGTAAATCTCTATTTAGTTTCTATCAAAAATCGTTCAAAAAATATTCACCTGATTTTTACTTTTGAAATGGATAATAGTTGTCATATTCTGTTAACGTAATAGATCTGTTGTGGTATATAGTGCAATAGCAATTTTCATCATGTTTTCTAACAATTACATTCAGTCATATGTAATCTTAGTCTCACATTGATGATTATAATAAGTTTTATTGAGATGTTTTCATGATATTGATTTCACGCTCGATTTGGTTTTGACAAATTCAAGTCAATATTTTTTAATCATAGATGAGAACGAAAAACAAATATTCTCGCTTGTATTCATCTCTTTGTCCAGTTTCTATTGAGTATCAATTGGGATGATGGTGATGAATATTCATAGAGGCTTAAGACGCAAAGTGACTCTCACTAGATGATGAATAAACTCATTCAGTATAATTCAAGTGATTTTCTATTTTTGAATAGGAAAAAATGATCAAATAAAACTGTCAGAATAATTTCCTAACTATCAAAAGCTGTCTGCCAAAAATTAATTTTTTCTCACAGATAATTCCAATGGAGAAGATGCGACATCATGCAGTCCTTGTTCGCTGGATTCATTTTGCCCACTAGCTTCATTAAATGATGTCAACATATCATTGTATCCTATTGTTGACGATTCGTATACTGATCCTGATGTGCCTTCATGGGATAGTTTCGATGATATTCTCGTCAATAATGCATTTTCTATCAATGGAAACTCCGGCGGTTGTGTCGTTAAATCACCTATGTTTTGGACTTGTATAGTGCTTGGTATCTGTCTAATCATACTCGTAACTATGGGTATTCTTTTCTATTTTCCGGAATCGAAAATCTATTTTGCACGTCTTCGATTCATATTTCAACAGACGGACTTGATTGGTGAGGGGAGAATGTGGATTGGTGGTCTAGTATCATTTGCAATTATGATCCTTGTTATTTATGCTTTTTGGTTCAGTTTGGCTTTCATAAAGTTATATCCTATAGAAGAATCAGGAGATGCCAATTTCGCATGTAATACAGGATTACGAAATTCAAAATTCACTTCTGCGCTGCGATTACTGTCTTCAAAAAAGTCTCAAACCGATGCACCCATGTTTCAAATGTTGGATGATCAACAATTTCAACTAACAGTTGATTTCATACAAACAGGATTTGTATGCAATAATATCCACGCACATGTATTATATTTTTACACAACTACTTATTGAAACTCAATTGTATTTCGATTCTTTTTTTTTATCAGGAATATGTTGGTCTTCAATGGATAGATCTCAAGCCTAATCGTTGTTTCCGTCAAGAAGACAATGCAACAAGTACTATTTCTATTGACTTGCATGATCATCAAATGGGTCTTATGTTCAATTTGGCGGGTAAACAGTTGATTAGGTTTCACGAAAATCTTATGCTAAACAGAAAAATGTATTAGATAAACTGTTGAAATCTCAAAGCTACAACAAATAATATTATTTCATAATCTCGAATACTAAATTGAATATTACCCTATCGATGAAAAAATTCAGAGAAGTAGATGATTTTGATTTTGTTTTTCTAAAACAAACAGTACTTCAACAGAATCTGATAGGTGTATTTTCGACAGAAAAAAAATGCTTTTTACAAAAAACTTCAGTAAAATAATTCTAGTTTGAGCTAAAAGATCTTCAGATAAGAGAAGAATTCAGGAACATAACATTTTGTAGAAACTTTGTTGCTTTTTTCCACTATCCAAAATGTAATTTAACTTTCATTATTATACTGCAGATGCTAAGAGACGTCATGTATCGTTTTCTAGAGATATTTTATTCCAAGTAAAAGTTTTTTTTTCTCGAATCTTCATACAAAATAATTTTCTTGTTTCCAATTACTTCTTGAAAGAAGTTTTTTTTAGGAAGAAAAGGATTGAAATTACACTCGTGTCAATAATTTTTTACTGCCTTCCCAGTAGAGATGAACACAGAACAGGGCAGGACAGGACGAAAAATTTTGTCCTTTGCACATCTTCAAATAACATATTTAAAAGTGAAAGAACTTTTAGATTACCATAATCAAATTTATTTCGAGATGGGAGTAGTTAGTACAACTCAGTTCCAATATTTGATTCCAAACATGAACTTACGAGTAAATAGTTTGTTCATGATATCGAGATAATCTTACGAAAAATTAATAACCGCAAAACCATTCATTGTAGATAACTTGCCTAGATTCGAAAAAGTTTTTGTCGAACAATCTTTTTGACATGTTGCCGAAGAAAAAATGAACAAATAGGACTAACCATGCAGATACATAGCAACTCAAGAATCTAATTAACTGAGAACAAGCCGCAATAAATCTTTGACATTTTATAAATTTTACAACGATTTCCGCATTTTGTAGGATATTCTGTGAAACTTTTTTGTGACGCATGTGGGAAAAATACCTTTCCTTATAAGGTGCCCCCCGAGAACAAAAGTCGAGCAAAATTTTTTCACCCCTTATATTTTTACATGGCTGGATAGAGCTTGACGAGACGATCACAAATATCACCTTTAAAACATTTTTTCAGTAAGTTTAGTCCGAAACAATTTCAAAATACTAAAAAACTGACTATTCGCTATTTTTTCAAGAAAAATCAGGTTCTTACTTATTTATAGTAAAGAAAAACTATTGGCA